ACACCAGTGAACCATCAATCCGGTACAACTACACACAAACACTCTATTTCTCTAACACTCACTCACTCACTCACTCACTCACTCACTCACTCACTTGCACACACACTAGTGCACACGCACACATTGTGAAACACAGTCACTCACATTCACTCACATTCACTCACTCGCTCACTACATTACTCACTTATTCACACAATCACTCACTCTACCACCTCATATCACCTCCATTCTACACATACACACCCATCAAACATCACACATTAAACACATTTCACTATCAATTCTCCAACTGCTTCAATCACATTCCTCTACATATAACACATTCCCTCTCCAACTAAACATATAGTCAGATATATAAACATATTGATATTTAAATCTACATCAATCCACCACATTCCCTCTTCTCACATCACCATCGCTCACAATCTCCTTCTCCATTCACAACAACGTCGGTCGTCACACAATATTGTCTCTCCGTCTATCCGACTCACTCTCTTTCTCTCTCTTCCTCTCTTCGTCCACCGTCTGTGTTTCCACCTCACAACATGTCTGACACACATTCTCTCTCTCTCTCTCTCTCTCTCTCTCTCTGCACATTCACACTTGACAATTTCACAATCACACAACATTCATTGATCACTCGACACGCACAAGTCAATCTCATTTGATTACTTTCATTGTCGAGTGGAATATTCATGTGTGGATTGACCACTTGACTCACGGTTTTCAATCAATCACCTTGTAGATGTGAATCAAGGTGACGACAATGAAGAGGAAAACCAGACACCTGGTCAACAAAGTGAGTCTCCCATCATTCATTTGCTTCAATGAATATTGACGCTGTTTCCACTATCTGACACACACCAGTGAACCATCAATCCGGTACAACTACACACAAACACTCTATTTCTCTAACACACTCACTCACTCATTCACTCACTCACTCACTCACTCACTCACTCACTCACTTGCACACACACTAGTGCACACGCACACATTGTGAAACACAGTCACTCACATTCACTCACATTCACTCACTCGCTCACTACATTACTCACTTATTCACACAATCACTCACTCTACCACCTCATATCACCTCCATTCTACACATACACACCCATCAAACATCACACATTAAACACATTTCACTATCAATTCTCCAACTGCTTCAATCACATTCCTCTACATATAACACATTCCCTCTCCAACTAAACATATAGTCAGATATATAAACATATTGATATTTAAATCTACATCAATCCACCACATTCCCTCTTCTCACATCACCATCGCTCACAATCTCCTTCTCCATTCACAACAACGTCGGTCGTCACACAATATTGTCTCTCCGTCTATCCGACTCACTCTCTTTCTCTCTCTTCCTCTCTTCGTCCACCGTCTGTGTTTCCACCTCACAACATGTCTGACACACATTCTCTCTCTCTCTCTCTCTCTCTCTCTCTGCACATTCACACTTGACAATTTCACAATCACACAACATTCATTGATCACTCGACACGCACAAGTCAATCTCATTTGATTACTTTCATTGTCGAGTGGAATATTCATGTGTGGATTGACCACTTGACTCACGGTTTTCAATCAATCACCTTGTAGATGTGGATGAAGGTGACGACAATGAAGAGGAAAACCAGACACCTGGTCAACAAACTGAGTCTCCCATCATTCATTTGCTTCAATGAATATTGACGCTGTTTCCACTATCTGACACACACCAGTGAACCATCAATCCGGTACAACTACACACAAACACTCTATTTCTCTAACACACTCACTCACTCACTCACTCACTCACTCACTCACTTGCACACACACTAGTGCACACGCACACATTGTGAAACACAGTCACTCACATTCACTCACATTCACTCACTCGCTCACTACATTACTCACTTATTCACACAATCACTCACTCTACCACCTCATATCACCTCCATTCTACACATACACACCCATCAAACATCACACATTAAACACATTTCACTATCAATTCTCCAACTGCTTCAATCACATTCCTCTACATATAACACATTCCCTCTCCAACTAAACATATAGTCAGATATATAAACATATTGATATTTAAATCTACATCAATCCACCACATTCCCTCTTCTCACATCACCATCGCTCACAATCTCCTTCTCCATTCACAACAACGTCGGTCGTCACACAATATTGTCTCTCCGTCTATCCGACTCACTCTCTTTCTCTCTCTTCCTCTCTTCGTCCACCGTCTGTGTTTCCACCTCACAACATGTCTGACACACATTCTCTCACTCTCTCTCTCTCTATCACTATCTCCCTCTCTCTCTCTCGCTCTCTCTCTCTCTGCACATTCACACTTGACAATTTCACAATCACACAACATTCATTGATCACTCGACACGCACAAGTCAATCTCATTTGATTACTTTCATTGTCGAGTGGAATATTCATGTGTGGATTGACCACTTGACTCACGGTTTTCAATCAATCACCTTGTAGATGTGGATGAAGATGAAGACAATCTAGAGGCAGACGAAGAATCTATTGATACAAGTGAGTAACGAAAATTGTATTGACATCTAAATATATCGTTTGTGTTTTGATAATCCGACACACACCAGTGAACCATCAATCCGGTACAACTACACACAAACACTCTATTTCTCTAACACTCACTCACTCACTCACTCACTCACTCACTTGCACACACACTAGTGCACACGCACACATTGTGAAACACAGTCACTCACATTCACTCACATTCACTCACTCGCTCACTACATTACTCACTTATTCACACAATCACTCACTCTACCACCTCATATCACCTCCATTCTACACATACACACCCATCAAACATCACACATTAAACACATTTCACTATCAATTCTCCAACTGCTTCAATCACATTCCTCTACATATAACACATTCCCTCTCCAACTAAACATATAGTCAGATATATAAACATATTGATATTTAAATCTACATCAATCCACCACATTCCCTCTTCTCACATCACCATCGCTCACAATCTCCTTCTCCATTCACAACAACGTCGGTCGTCACACAATATTGTCTCTCCGTCTATCCGACTCACTCTCTTTCTCTCTCTTCCTCTCTTCGTCCACCGTCTGTGTTTCCACCTCACAACATGTCTGACACACATTCTCTCACTCTCTCTCTCTCTATCACTATCTCCCTCTCTCTCTCTCGCTCTCTCTCTCTGCACATTCACACTTGACAATTTCACAATCACACAACATTCATTGATCACTCGACACGCACAAGTCAATCTCATTTGATTACTTTCATTGTCGAGTGGAATATTCATGTGTGGATTGACCACTTGACTCACGGTTTTCAATCAATCACCTTGTAGATGTGAATGAAGGTGACGACAATGAAGAGGAAAACCAGACACCTGGTCAACAAACTGAGTCTCCCATCATTCATTTGCTTCAATGAATATTGACTCTGTTTCCACTATCTGACACACACCAGTGAACCATCAATCCGGTACAACTACACACAAACACTCTATTTCTCTAACACACTCACTCACTCACTCACTCACTCACTCACTTGCACACACACTAGTGCACACGCACACATTGTGAAACACAGTCACTCACATTCACTCACATTCACTCACTCGCTCACTACATTACTCACTTATTCACACAATCACTCACTCTACCACCTCATATCACCTCCATTCTACACATACACACCCATCAAACATCACACATTAAACACATTTCACTATCAATTCTCCAACTGCTTCAATCACATTCCTCTACATATAACACATTCCCTCTCCAACTAAACATATAGTCAGATATATAAACATATTGATATTTAAATCTACATCAATCCACCACATTCCCTCTTCTCACATCACCATCGCTCACAATCTCCTTCTCCATTCACAACAACGTCGGTCGTCACACAATATTGTCTCTCCGTCTATCCGACTCACTCTCTTTCTCTCTCTTCCTCTCTTCGTCCACCGTCTGTGTTTCCACCTCACAACATGTCTGACACACATTCTCTCTCTCTCTCTCCTCTCCCTCTCTCTCCTCTCTCTCTCTGCACATTCACACTTGACAATTTCACAATCACACAACATTCATTGATCACTCGACACGCACAAGTCAATCTCATTTG